ATATTTCCTTTCTATGTTATCAATCTACAGGCATACCTCATTTTATTATGCTTCATGGATATTGTGTTTATTACATATTGGCACCATCTTTGCAACACCATGTGCTCACTTAGTATCTCTGTGAATTTTAGTAATTCTCACAATATTTCAAACCTTTTTTATTATTATTGTATTTGTTATGGTGATCTGTGTTCAGTGATGTTTGATGTTACTGTTGTAATTATACCACAAACCATACCCATATAAGACAGTGAACTTAATAGATAAATATTGTGTGCATCCTGCTAGCTCCACCCACCAACTGTTCTCTCTCTCTCTCTCCAGGCTTCCCTATTCCCTGAGACACAATATTAAAATTAGACCAATAACCCTACAATGGCTCTAAGTGTCCAACAGAAAGTAAGACTTGCACATCTCTCACTTTAAAGCAAAAGCTAGAAATTATTAAGCTTAGTGAAGAAGGCACGTTGAAAGCCAAGATAGGTCAAAAGCTAGGCCTCTTGTGCCAAATAGTTAGCCAAATTGTGAATGCAAAGTAAAAGTTCTTGAAGGAAATTAAAAGTGCTACTCTAGAGAATACATGAATGATAACAAAGCAAAACAGAGTTTTGCTGATATGAAGAAAGTTTTAGTGGTCTAGATAGAAGATCAAACCAGCCACAAAGTTCCCTTACACCAAAGTCTACTCCAAACGAAGGCCCTAGCTTTCTTTAATTCTATGAAGGCTGAGAGAAGTGAGGAAGCTGCAGAAGAAAAATTGGAAGCTAGTAGAAGTTGGTTCATGAGGTTTAAGGAAAGAAGCTCTCTCCATGACATAAAAGTGCAAGGTGAAGCAGCAAGTGCTGATGTAGAAGCTACAGGAAGTTATCCAGAATATCTGGCTAAGATCATTGGTGACGGTGGCTACACTAAACAACAAATTTTCAATGTTGATGAAACGGCATTATATAGAAAGAAGGTGCCATCTAGGACTTTCATAGCTAGAAAAGAGAAGTTGATGCCTGGCTTCAAAGCTTACAGGGACAGGCTGACTCTTTTGTTAGGGGCTAATGCAGCTGGTGACTATAAGTTGAAGGTAAACTTTATTTGCCATTCTGAAAATTCTAGGGTCCTTAAGAATTATGTTAAAACTATTCTGCCTGTGTTCTCTAAATAAAACAACAAAGCCTGGATGATAGCACATCAGTTTAGAATATAGTTTACTGAATATTTTAAGCCCATAGTTTATACCTTTTGTCTCAGAAAGAGAAAAAAATTCCTTTCAAAATATTACTGCTCATTGACAAGGCACCTGGTCACCCAAGAGCTCTTGATGGAGATGTATAAGGAGATTAATATTGTTTTCACGCCTGCTAACACAATATCCATTCTGCAGCCCAGGGATTAAGGAATAATTTCAACTTTTTAATCTTATTATTTAAGAAATACGTTTCAGAATGCTATAGCTGCCATAGATAGTGATTCCTCTGATGAATCTGTGCAAAGTAAATTGAAAATCTTCTGGAAAGAATTCACCATTCTGGATGCTGTTAAGAACATTCGTGATTCATGGAAGGAGGTCAAAATATCAATAGTAATAAAAGTTTAGAAGAAGTTGTTTCAAACCCTCATGGATTAATCTGAGGAGTTCAAGATTTCAGTGGAGGAAGAAGTAACTGCAGATGTGGTAGAAATAGCAAGAGAACTAAAATTAGATGTGAACTTGAAGACGTGACTAAATTGCTGCAATGTCACGATAAAATTTTAATAGATGAGGAGTTGCTTCTTACGGATGAGCAAAGAAAGCCGCTTCTTTAGATGGAATCTATTCCTGGTGAAGATGCTACGAACATTGTTGGGATAACTACAAAGGCTTTAGACTATTCCATAAACTTAGTTGATAAAGCAGTGGCAGGATTTGAGAGGATTGACTCCAATTTTCAAAGTTCTACTGTGAGGAAAATGCTATCAAACAGCATCGCATGCTACAGAAAAATATTTCATGAAAGGAAGAGTCAATCTATGTGACAAACTTTATTGTCTTAAGACATTGCCGCAGCCACTCCAACTTTCAGCAACCATCACCCTGATCAGTCAGCAGCCATCAACAATGAGGCAAGACTCTCCAGTAGCAAAAAGATTATAACTTGCTGAAGGCAATTAGTACTTTAAGTTAGCAATTTTTAGCATTAAAATGTTTTTTAATTAAGGTATGTACATTGTTTTTTAGACGTAATGTTATTGCACAGTTAATAGAGGACAGGGTAAACAAAGTTTTTATATATACTGGGAAACCAAAAATTTCATGTCACTTACTCTATTGTGATATTCTGTTTTATTGAGTTGGTCTGGAACCAAACCCTCAATATCCCCAGCTACGTTTGTACTCATAAATCCTGTATGTTTACCGCTAACAATCCACAGAGGCAGATATAGAAAGGCATTTTATTTTATTTTACCTTAGATAGGAAACTAAAATTCAGGAAATAATTAGGTGGCATTTTTAGCATCAACTCAATGCCTTCTCATATACATCAACATAGATGTGTCATCTTCTCTTGGTGTAGAGTTTACAGTACAGATTTTGTCAACATTGAGTCTAGAGAACAGCAGGCTAGATATATCTCTCTTTTCACTTTATAAGGGGAACAATGTTAGCAGTCCCTTAGAATTAACAGAAAGAACAAAGTTCATAGAGTCCAGAACTGA